AATAAAGGTAATAATTGCCCTCATGCGCATGCAAACCAGAAAGGAAAAAAAAAAAAAAGTCTGGCTAAATAAAGATGATTAAGGGTAGAGAATTCTTATTTGGGGTCTTGCTCATTGCTGGCTTTGTGGAGAGAATAAAAAGACTTCTTTCTAAGGGAAAAAATGCAAAGAGAAAGAGTAATTGAGGAATAGCTAAGAGTATTCAAGGAAATTAATCAGCTTAGGGTGTTCAGGGAAAATAAAAAAAATTAAGAAGAAAGAAAGCTGGCAGCCAGAGCAGAAGGTTCCCGGTGCATTAAAAAGAGGCCTAGGAACAAGATATGGTGTTGTGCCACAGGATAAAAAACACAGCAACAGCAGCAGCAGAACCCTCCCCTGCTGTGACTGCAGCAGCAGCAGTTCCAGAACACATTGTGGGGCATGTATACATTGCAGTTGACTTGCTAGCCTGAAAAATAATTACTAATTAGTAATTAGTTCCTTTACATAGTGGGAATACGATGCATTTCTTGGATGGGGGAGGAAGAGGAGGTGGTTTAGGGATATGTTACGATCCCTGCCCATTGCAATGATTCCCAGAGGGGAAGCCCTCTCTTTTCAGAAGTCACACCTGAGTTTCTCTACTGACATTGGGATAAGCCCAAATACCACTTTGCCAGAGAGTTGTCTTTCTGTGAGCATATTTCAGAGTGAGCATATTTCAGAGAAAGCCTACTGCCAACTGCATCAAATTACCAAGGAAAATCTTTGTAAATCCTAAAATAGAAAAAACGGTTTCTGAATGTCTGGGTCAGCCACAGAGATCTCACTGCACTACCTAGTTTGGGAAGGTCTTGCATATTCTGTGGAGCTCAAATTATTCTTGATTGTGGTCCGGGTTCTCAGCATGAAAAGAGAGGATGTATAACACTTGTCATGCTACGTCAAGAAGACAGCATCAGTTTTGCATCAGTTATGCCTGTTTCACTTCTGGAAGTACTTTTACGTCCCAGAGATTGCCACATAAAGATCAAATGAAGCTGAACTTTACCTGTGGTAAGTCTTCCACAAGGGAAACATGACACAATGCAACTTTAAACTCACTGCCACATCCGCCCTTCACAACACCATCCTGGAGGAAGCTGAAGTATCAGTGACAAGATGCACCTCCATACATGGAAGT